ATCGCACAGTTCATTATCATCGCTCTGGTGCTCTTTGGCCATATCTGGGCCTTGCGCCAATAAGCTCCACTAATCATGTCTTGTTCTGTGCAGGTGCACATTTTGGTTGATCACGACAGTGTTTTCTTCTTTGCAGTTGCAGCCGTGAGGTTCGTAGTTCTTCCGTGTTTGCCACAAAATTAATATGAGGTATTGTGAGAAAACATAACCCTTGGGACCGCAATCTAGCCGGCACAGCAAGCGATCAGCCCTGCATCCCACTTTTTGTAGGTTCTGTTAATTCGAAAACCCCCTTAAACCAAAGCTTTCTTGCAGCCCCAGTGACTTCGAAATAACGAAAGTTTACTAGTTTCAATAACATAGCAATGTATAGTCTCCTTGCAGCAGTTCAAAATGCGAAAAACCACACACACACTGTTCTACCCACAGTACTATATGTACTAACACATGATTCCATATATCACAACACCCAGCTGTATATCACAAGTGCTTATCCAGTCTGGTGTACACCAAGAAGTCTTTCAGGGAGATGTTCTTTTTTCGAAGACGAATTTCAGGCCATGGTCTAAGTAATTTCTTTTATGTGCGGTGCTGTCAGTCGCTGACCCATCCAGAAGACAGCTGGTAACTACAACAGATCTTCATGTGTGCTTCCGATCGAGCGTCTGCCTCAATGAAATTTTGCCCATCATGGAGAATAAGGTGACCCCATGGCAGGAAGAAAAGCCTTAAATGAAAAAAAAATGCGAGCGGGACACAAAACATCAAATTTTTTTCTTCCAGTGCAAAAAAAATTTTTTTACTCGCTACCTTGATTGGAGTCCTTCTGTTTCAACTAAAGCCCATTAAGACCACTGTCACACAAACATTGCGGGATGGCAGACATAACCGCAGTTAGTCTCCTAATTGTGGTTATCACAAACAGGCAATTTCATGAAAGATAAACAAGGATCCAAGATTGGATATTTCAGATTTCAGTTTTATATTTCATGAGCTTACAACCGAGTATCCCAAAAAGGAACTTGCTTTTTTTAGTGCCCAAGTTAGGAGGTAAAGCATATTGAACATATTATACTCGGAGGTACCAATTTGATTACAAGTCATTCACAAAATTTCATGATGTAACCCATAAATATTACTGTTACAAAAAAGACATATTGTTTATGAAATGTATGCATTTCAAAAACTAAACTAACATTGTCTGAAACTTGTTGAGTGAAGAAAAGTAGGTCTATTTTTGAAAGTGTAAAAATATGTGAAATTTTATATGTAACCTATAAATATCAGTTACAAAGAAAACATTTTATTTATGAAATATATGCACTTAAAAAACTAGACTAACATTGTCTGAAACTTGTTGAGTGAAGAAAAGTAGGTATGTTTTTGAAGTGTATAAATATGTGAAATTTTATTATAGTTGCTCCCTAGCAGTTGCTACAAAGTTAAAAATTACTTTGTTCTGAAAATATCGCTTTCTCTCTGCAGCGGCAGTCACATTTCTGGTTATTGAACTCCTGAGTGAGCGAGGCTTATCTTGAACACAGTGACATAAACGCTCGCAAATTTTTGTGGTTATTAGAAAGGTTAAAGCTGACAAAAATGATATTTATGCAAAGATATTTCTTGTGATTACTGGATCATTAAATATTTCTTTACTGCTACATGTTTGCGCATCTATATTGGTAGTACAAGCACGTTGTCCAAGTGGACCTTTACCGGGCAGGGAGACTAGACATGCGCATGTTTTTGGGGCCGAAATGCGCCAACAGGTGCAAGCTAAGGGACATCTGCCTCTCCCCCTCTGTCTTGGGGTGGGGGAGAGGCGTCAATGCACGTTTTCATGATTGCTCATTGGCATGTGCAGCGAGCGATTTCGGAGGCCAAAGACAACCAGGTTTGATTTCGACGATCTCCTCTGGATGTACTGTTTGGATTCGAAAAAGGCCGATACTTGTAAATTTCTTGAGAGTTCAGTGATGTTTTCTTTGCCGTTAGCATCAATAATTGAATGCGGTATTGCGTATATAATGTCACATTGAGAAATATGGCTTCACCACGTGCCACAGTCAGAAGCTATCAAATGTAACTTTGCTGGCATCTTTAAGCTGCTGTAATATTAGTTAAGTTCTAGTTCTATAAAATTTATATGAATAATTCTCATTAATTGAGCATTTTGGGATATATTCCTTGTTTGGTTAGCCATTTCATGTGAAACGTAAATTTGAGTTAAAAATTATTGTTGTGGGCTTCTGCAATAAAAACGCATTCTTATCATTGTGGAGTGACAGCAATGGTGACGTCTATTAAATTTTTTTGTTACAGAAATGGTAACATGTTGCCTTTTCTTGGAGGTAACGAAAGGCCGTAACGTGCTCAGTTTTCTTTAGTTACAAGTAACGTATTTAGTTGCTTTTAGTCAGTAACGTGCAACACTCGGTCTGTGGCACCTACAGATGACAATGTAGTACTTCATTTTTATGAATTAGAAACTACATAAGACCCAGTAGACTGTCAGAATATTCTACGTCATGCTGTTTGGTGCGGGAATTTAAAGGTGATGTCTACGCCCCCATTTTCTTTTCATGGGTTAGCTTGCTTACCAAGTGTTGTTTTGCAGTGAGAGGCATTTTAAGGAATTGCACTTCACTTATATGCAAAAAATTGTTTTTCTCTTTAGTGTCTCTTTAAAACTCCTTGTATCATGTATGAAGAAAAGGATGGGCCGTCATCCTCATGGCGAAGCCCCCTGGTGACCTCTTTTCTATTCAAACACGCATCTAATCTTATCCTCGATGATGATAGTGTTCTTCCTCGTCTTCTACAGTTTTAAACATCTTCTGCACCGCCACAAATGATGCAAGATGGTGAAGAACACTAAACGCTTGAGTTCTAAGCACACGCTGTTCATGAGTAATTGTATTAGGTCTAGGTCAAGCCATGTGGGACAATTCGGCCTTCCTCTGTGCCTGCTCTTGCCTTTGAACGCATTGACCTTGGTGAATTTGGATTGTCACTAAGCACGTTTCCTTGACATGAAAACTCTCAGAGAAGACTCTTCTAGAAGGATCTTGTGTAGCTATTTCTGAGAAACCTTTTCCTTGGCTTTCTGTTTCTTGCTGCATTTATTTTGTAAGCATCAGCCTTCTGCCTCAATCTTCATCTAGCCTGTCCCCTTCGCTGCTGTGACGTTGTGAGGGCATTTTACAACTTTGCAGAATTGAGCTGTGCCATACGCATTTTCTGTAATGCAGACCTCTGCAGCTTTCTCGAAGAGCAGAAGCTTTCAGCAGTGCAAGGTGCTTGCTTTTGTGTCATCATTGCCTTTCCTTTCTTCCATTTTCTCTCGGTTTATGAAGTGGCCTTGATTATTTTCAGGCAGGCACTTGTACGTGCCGCGGTGAGGGCTTTATAATGTCGGTCTGCCAGCTTTCGCTTGTACGCTTCCTTAATATCGCGTGGATGACCTTTTTGAATCTGCAAAGTCTTCCTGCTTTTCAATCGTGAAAATGCCTTCCACCACATACATCGGAGTTATTGCAGATGTCTTGTCATTAGCTTGAAGGGTACAACACGCTGACAAGAATCGTAAAGTTGTAGAAGTTTTCTTTAGACTTTGAGGTTGTTCTTCAGCGTTAGCCTTTGAGATTGCATTCTCTGCAGTGGGAGTGCTAGTCTGTATGCTTCCAGTATGTTCCGCTACTCATCGCGAGGTCGACTCATCGAGCTTCGCTCCGACAAGATTGCTATTCAGCATGTAATGGCTAAATAGCGATAACGAAGATAGAGAGTATTTTCTTTCTGCTTCTGTTCTAATCCGCTCTCTTAGTCTCCAAACGAACCTGCCATGCCTTTAATACGTCGGCGATCATATATTCTGTTCTGACCTTTGCTAGAATAATCTTGTGCTCATAAACGTCGGCCTCCTCCATTTCTGCTTCTAAATGATCAGTATATACTGTGTCTTTTGCCTTCTTGAACCTTCTACTTTCTGTGTCCTCTGAGAACCTCAAACTGCTCAATCAAAATTCGTTGAGTACTCCGTAATGCACTTAATAATAGGCGTTCCACATGCAGAAGGCTTTAGATACTTGTGATGGCTTCTATGACTGTCTTTCTCACTTGACGCCACCTTTCATACAGGGCCTCCATGATGCGGTCTAGTGTTAGAAACGTGAAAGATCACTGGCTGGCAGCGTCACGTGGAGAATTTGGCATCAATGTGGGATCCATCGCAGTAGCTTTGCACGAGGAATATCCGGTTGTTTTCTGGTCGTCATTCTTTCTGATCTGGGTGTCCGGGATGGTCAGGCCTCGCACATCAGCTTCACCTGATGGCTTCGCAAAAATACTCCACGCTTCAAAAGCAGTCAAGAATTTGCGGAGGCCACTCTGTCTTGCCTCTGAAGGCCTTTTTTCAGTTTCATGGCAGTTTTATCGAGCTTTTCATGTTGAATAAAGGGTGAGCCGTAGTCCCTATGGCGAAGTCCCCCCATTGTTTTCTTTATTTGAACACTGATCTTCTCATGATGATGATATCATGCTGGTACCATGCTGTGAATGTTTTCCTTTTCTCAAGCTTGATTGCATCACAATGATTCACAGACCTTATGGAAAAGGTGGTAGTTTTAATAGAGGCAAAGTGGCTTTCGCCCTTACTTTATTCTTATACAGTTAAACCTCTTTGTAAGAGGCATGCTCCAGATGGCAATTCTTGTATTTTGCGAGATGTCTCTTATAAGCAGGGCACCTCGTATCCATTTTCTTATCAACCCGTATTTTAGTGTAAACGCAGTGATGTCTTATACCAGTTTCTCTTGTATCAGTGTCTCTTATTAAGGGGTTCTACTGTACATTGTATATTTTCAGACATGACACTTGGCAAAAGCTTCATGCGGCATTTGTTTCCTGGTAGCCAATTGGCTTGGTTGTTTATCATTTTAAATATTGCTTGTAGCATGTGACTGTTTCAAGGCAATATCGCACTTTTTTTTTTTTTACAGGTTTTGACGTGAATCCTTTGCGAAAGGAAGTGTGCTGGAGTGATTCAAATAGAGGTGCCATTATGTGCGTCGGCTACAGCACTACAGCCAATTTTTCTGAAATGGTCCTGGCCAGTGGTGGCAGTCAAAGCCACTTGCTATTTATGGCTGACAAGGAGAGATTTTTTTACAGTCCTGGAAATGGTAGCTTGTACTGGGTCACCTATGGCTCCCGTGATGCACCACACCTAGTTTGGAATGGTACAGAGCCTCTGGCCTATTTGAAGCATTCTAGTCCTGATGTCTTTCTTGAACATTGGAGTGAGTATAGTTTATATACTAGCTATTTTTTTTACGTTTGTGCGTATATTTGAACGGTTTGAATATTTTAATGAATAGAAGAGTATTCAAATTCGCTTCGGTTTGAATTTAAATTGTACCCCGCAGGGGCGTCTGCTTACGCAGGCGTTTGGTGTGTAGAGACACCACGGACCCGAGCTAACAGGGGGGGGGTGACTCCCTCCCACGCCTAGCCGTGCGTGGTTTTGCCGTGTCTGGAGAAAAGGGGATACTGGGGGTTGAGCGGACACCAGGTGACAGGACCTTTAAGGCCCCCCGGCAGAGGCAACACACGTGTCCCTTTGGGCCCGGCTTCACATTGACGACACCCCTGGCTTGACCCACCCAGGGGAAATCGGCAGTCGCCTTTTCCTGTCTCTCCCTCCTTACATCTTCGTCTTTCTCTCACACTTTTTATCTGTCCCTCTCCTTCTCTCTTCCGTTTATTTCCAAATTTTCTGGCGGCAAGGGTTAACCTTGTGTGGATACCCAGTCTTGGCTATTCCATATTAGGTTATAGCAGTGCTGTACAGCTGGCGTCGACAGGACTTGCCCAGCATCTCCTGCCACATCCACTTGTTGGGCTCGGTGGTGGGCGGCTGGCACAGCTGCCGAACTTTATAGTCAATATATGGAAAATGCTTCCCCCCCTTCCTGATCGCTCCCTGAAAAGGTGGCACACCGAAGACAAATTCATGCTCGACTCTCCAAAACCGACTTTCCCAAAGTACCATGTTATTCATAGCCAGAACGAAAAGTAGACAGCACGTGCGATTTCACCTTTTCTTGTGTCTAAAACTTTCACCGAAGCAATAGGTCCAGGCTATAAAGTCTCAAAGATGGGAAATGGCGATCTCTTACTGGAGTTCGTGACAAAGCTCAATATGAGAAGCTGTCTAAACTTGTAGCGTTTGGAGAAACCCCCATTTTCGTGGGCCCACACAGGTCCATGATCACTGTCTGCGGCATCATTTCTTGTCTTCTTCAACTCTCAGAAAGAGAACTATTGGAAGGCTGGCAAGACCAGAATGTAGTTAAGGAACAGACAATTATTATACGACGGGACAAGAAAAAAACACCCACCAAACACATATTTGTCACCTTCGGTACTAGTGACTTACAAGAATCAATTGTAACCGGCTTACACCTCCGTGTGCGACCATATATCCCTAATCCTCGTCGGTGTTTCAAGTATCAATGTTTCAGGCATGGATCGCGGAGTTGCAGAGGGCGCACCACTTGTGCAAAGTGTGCATCCATTCAACACGTATTGGACGACTGCACCTTAGAAGTAACTCATTGTTCGAACTGTGAAGGAAATCACCCTGCCTACTCACGATCATGCCCCACATGAAAAAAAGAGAAACAAATAGTTGAACTCAAGGTCAAATTCATTCTGTCATTCCAAGAAGCACGTAAACGTTTTTCACTGCACAAGCTCTCTTATTCCTCCTTTGCAGATGTGACGCGCCGGGGTGCCGCGCCAGATGTTCCTGCACCCGCGAATGTCACACAGAGTGTGGCCGCGGTTGTGCCACCAGTGCCCCCGGCTGGACCAGCCTGTACTGCTCCGCCACCTGACAAACAGGGTCAGCAGACCCCCGTGTCTGCTGAACCTCGCACGGACCACTGCAAGTGCAGTTAGGTCTGAAAGTTCTGTGAATGTGCCTGCAGAGCAGGCACCATTCACCACCTCGCAAGAGGTGATGGATACAAGTACGACTCCTCGGGTGCCTTGAACGCCGAAGGATAGACGCAACTCTTTGGAGAGGGCCAATAAAAAAACACCCGAATTACAGGGCCCCCAAAAGGCCCTGTAACCTAAGTCAACACTTTTGTACACACAGCACAGTACACACTGCTTGGAAGATCATGTGAACTCTATCGCCGCACACTTCGAGGAGGTCTCCAGCTCGTCGCACTATACCGTAGAGTTTCAACGATACAAAGTCTGAATAAAAAAAGAAAGAAACTACAGCGCAAATCCACAACCTACGAGCCCCGCCGCGGTGGTCTAGGGGCTAAGGTACTCGGTTGCTAACCCACAGGTCCCGGGTTCGAACCCCGGCTGCAACGGCTGCATTTCCGATGCAGGCGGAAATGTTGTAGGCCCGTGTGCTCAGATTTGGGTGCACGTTAAAGAACCCCAGGTGGTCGAAATTTTCGGAGCCCTCCACTATGGCGTCGCTCATAATCATATGGTGGTTTAGGGACGTTAAACCGCATATATCAATCATATCAATCAATCCACAACCCACGAGGCATACGATTCACCTTTTTGTTTAGCTGAGCTACAAGCCTCACTAAACTGCTTCAACAAGTCTGCCCCAAGCTCCAACCGTGTGTCATATGAAATGCTAAAATGCTTTCCCATCGAAACTCAAAAAGCCCTTCTCTGCCTGTATAATGCTGTATGGTTTTCCGGCGAGGCGCCCTTGACCTGGAAAGAAGCCATAGTTATTCCTATTTTAAAACAAGGCAAGGACCCGTCCTCAGTTTCAAGCTACAGGCTAATAGCACTAACCAGTCGTCTTTGCAAGGTCTTTGAAAAATATATAAATAGGCGGCTTATGCACTTCCTTGAGACTAATGACCTACTTGACCCATAACAGTGTGTGTTTCGAGAGGCTAGGTCCACTACTGACCACCTTGTCCGCATCCAAGCTCAAATTCGTGATGCCTTCGTTCATAATAAATTTTTTCTCTCGGTGTTCCTCGATATGGAGAAGGGCTATGATACTACGTGGCGCTTTGGCATACTGAGAGACCTCACATTTCGGTGTACGGGGTAGAATGTTGAACATAGTCGAAAGCTACTTAACCAATTGCACATTCTGTGTTCGATTAGGCACTGTTTTGTTGCGAATATTTGTCCAGGAAACAGGAGTGCCGCAAGAAGGTGTATTAAGTTGCACGCTCTTTATAGTTAAAATTAACTCCTTACGCCTCACTATCCCTTGCAATGTTTTACTGTACATATGTTGATGTACAGGTTAGTTTTAAATCGTGCAACCTCTCAATATGTAAACGACAGGTTCAATTATGTATGAACAAGGTTTCTCAATGGGCAGAACAGAATGGTTTTAAACTGAACGCACAAAAGGGCACATGCGTCTTGTTCTGCCAGAAGAGGGGCATTCATCCCGATCCCAAAATTGACCTGCATGGTCAACGTCTGTATGTAAAGTCTGAGCACAAGTTTCTGGGTGTAATATTAGACACAAAACTAACCTTCATACCCCACATCAAGTATTTAAAGAACAGGTGCTTAAAAACAATTAATATTTTGAGTGTTGTCATGCACTACGTGGGATAGCGACAGGAAATTCCTGATGAATCTGTATAGAAGCCTTGTGCACACGCGCCTCGATTAGTGCTATAACCTACCTGTCTGCAACACCACCAGCTTTAAAGATGCTTGACTCTGTCCTCCACCTAGGCATTCGACCTTCTATGGGTGTTTTCGCCCTAGCCCCGTAGAAAGCCTGTTTGCAGAGTCAAACGAATAATTGCTCCATCTGCAGAGATGCTATACGTCTTTTACATACCATCTCGAGGTGAATGGAAACGATGAACATCCCATCCACAATTAATGATCTGTCCAATTCTACTTTATTCCACAACCATCCTTCGCTGAGACAGCCCTACTCACTCAGTGTCAGGAGGCTCACTGAGGAAACAGCCGTGCCACTTGTAGAACACTGTTTGATGGCTCCAGCAGTATTTCCACCACCGTGGCAATGGCAGGTTATAGACTGCGATCTATCCTTCGTGGAGGTCACTAAACATGCACCTACTGCACATATATGCACGCACTTTCTTGAAGTCAAACACAAGTATACTTGCCCAGAATTCTTTACAGATGCTTCTAAGTCTCGCCCTGGTGTGTCCTATGCAGCTGTTGGCCCATCTTTTTCAAATTCCGGTATACTGTACCTCCAAACAAGCATTTTCACCGCAGAAGACCATGCGGTGTCTGTGGCTTAAAGGCATATTAATGAGTTACAACTACAACGCGCGGTTATATACACGGATTCACTGAGCGTTGTGATGGCTCTTAAAACACTCAAAGCATAAGAATCCTGTACTTGTGTCGCTTTACTATCTTTTATGCAGTATCTACGCCCTCAAACGACATGTTGTTGTGTGCTGGGTGCCAGGGCACCGCGAGATCGCTGGAATCGTGGCAGCAGACTAGCTAGCTGCGTCTGCGCATGACCACGCACCTGCCGAAACACCCATGGCCGTGCCTTCACTTGACATGAAACCTTTCTTACGACAGGAGCTCAGGGAGTGCTAGCAGCGCCTATGGGATAGGCAAACAGACAATAAACTACATGTTATTAAACCGATGCATGGAAATTGCCCACCAGTGTCGAGCTCACGCTACACACAAGTTACACTTACAAGGCTGCAGATAGGACACACACACTCTACACATTCATACCTTTTGTCTGGCAATGACCAACCCATCTGTGAGAGGTGTGGAGATCCACTTATGGTACTCCACATTCTAGTTCAGTGTGGTGATTTAGATGAATTAAGGGAAAAGCACTTTTTATTGCCCTACCGACTGCAGCTACCACTACATCCTGTCATGTTCATCGGTAGGGATCCGCTTTTTAAACTTGTCACTTTTTATATTTTTAAAAGATGTTCTAAAAGATGTTCATAGATTTCACCCCATATTTCGAGGTGATCCGTAGCTCGACCTCTGTACAGAGGTCGCGGCTGCGACTGCCGTCTTGATCAACATTATCATTTATTCCAGTTTCACGCATTTCACGTCACCACTATGATCCTAATGTTTTTTTAGGTTTAACCCGCCTCAGGGGCGTGAAATTTCAGGCCCCTTTACAGCTGTGCAACACTATCATTGTTCGTATTCTGATCATATTACTAGAATAATGCACCATTGCTTTTCCCTCATAATTGTTCATGACGCTCTTTGGCCATCACATGGCCCTTGCACCAATAAACACCATATATCATCAATTTAAATTGTTGAAAATTTCGAAGTATTCGGAATGAACGAATAAATGTATACTAATGCGCATGTAGCCGCTTGTAAAGATGGTTTTGCACTGTACGAGTGCAAAGTTGCGAGAACATTTATCCAAGGAAAATCTGCCCAGCCGTGAAGCCCTACTGCAAAGTTCCAGGGGCCCTGCAACACTTTTTGAGCATAGTAGGAAAACCCTGCCGATCAGTAGTCGAGGCTACCGAGAACACGCGAGCCAAATATCATAGCGCTGCCCGTGGCCTGCAATTCAACATAAATTCTCAGTCAGCTGAAAATTGCTTTCTCTTCTCTCAACAAATGATGCCACAAGCTCAAAATCGCTCGTCACAGCCATTGAATCAGCCGTTGGCTTATTTGAGCGTGGCGCGCTTGTTCACTACTAGGACTGCAGCGAGAGGCTGCTACTTTTCCCTGCATACGTGCACCGTCGCACTGAAAAGTCGTGTATTTGAAGAAAAAGCGCGCGCGGTGTGTAGAGGAGGAAGGGATGCACAGATGGTGGAAGAGTGGGCGACGGCGCGACGGCGCATGCGCGCGCGTCAGCTGTCGAATGTTTGAGAAGCGGTGCGGACGGCGCACTACAAGGCGCGAGTATAAGATGCTCCGCATCTAAAAAAGACTAAATGCCCAAGGTGACGAGGCGCATGTGATGTTTTTTTTCCCCCCCCATTCCATCTTTTCCTGCTTAGCTTTCAGCACTTTCGTCGGGACAAAAGAGGAGCGAACGCAGTTGCAGGGTGCGACAAATGTTTGCAACTCCGCTCGTACCATGCAGATTAAAAAAAATTCTGTGGCGGTGACTTCGTAAGGCAATGAGCTCTTTTAGTGAATCCACTGTATGGTTACTTGAAAAAGTGTTGCCGGGCCCCTTTATATGAACATACTACCATCAAATCGACTCACCGTTTTTTAAGTTTAACAGCTTGGTATGCTGGCTTATATGCTCTAAGTATAGTAAATTTTAAAATGTTTCATACTTTATAGGTTATTATTTGCATTCTACCGAAAGTCAAATCCTGCTACTACTCAGAGTTGTTTAGACTTTCTAGCAATGAACCCCAAAAAATGGCATTTGCTCAGAGGCCTCACTTAAACTTTAAAAAAATATTGTGCAGGTTAGGTCACACTAAATATGCAGTTTTTCTTTATATGTCGTATATACTATTCGTATTCGATTTGAACTTATTCAACTAAAATCACTATTCGCTTCGAACCTGAAATTTTTTTCAATAATTAAGTTTTGTCATTGTGTGGTATGAAAGGTACTCAGCACGGCTGTTTCTCGAGTGTGCAGTGCAATTATCTTTTTGTTCATGCATTTATATAATACAGATAACTCAGCTCTGTTAAAATCGGTTAGGCTACTGTAATTGTTCAAAGAAAACTGTTACTGTTTAACCTGAAAAAAGTGGTTATGTTGTTGGCCACTGGACTGAACTGAAAAAAACTTCACTCAAATCATTAGAATTGGTAGTTTTTCTTTTGGTGTTTTTTTGCCAGTGATAGGTTGCATTTTCACGGAGTTCAACTCGTTCCTCGCTATGAGCAAAGGACCACTTCCAAGCATCAATTTTATTTTGTATTTATCTATGCAAGGTACGAATTCTATAAAACCAATTGTTTTTGTCTTTGTAAGTTGCGGTAAAAATTCAGAGCCCTTTCACTACGTTACAAATGGAAACCAGCAGCTGTGGCTGAATGTTTTACAGCATGGGCTTCACGTCATTTTTTCCCCCTTTGGTGCATCTGTGTTTGGCACTCCTTCCATTTCTTTTCTTCTTCTCTACAAAAACGACACACATTAATCACATAGCGAGTCCAAATGGCAACTGCTGATAAGAGCTAGCACAATATCTACATCGCGAGACAAAGCACAACTGGTGAGAAGTGCCGCCATCAAGTTTCACGACACTTGTGAAAGAGCCATTAGTGGTAGAGTGAGGTTGCAAGGGGCACTGAATGTTGTTCTATGCATCATTTTGTCTAGAGACGCGATCCGCCAGAACCCATTCATGCACAGCTTTGCTTTTGAAAGGAAGCCAATAGGATAGCAAAGTAGTAGAGCAAACACTTCTTTGTCGGCACTTAAAAAAGCAGCAAATATATGAAGGAAAACGAAAAATTCTTAAAGGTAATTAAAATATTGTGAGCAGGACTAGCTGTTTACATCAGTAATATATTGCTAAGTAACATAGACTACAGGATGGGTGAAGATCAGATGAGTTATCTTACATGAAGAGTAGGTTTTCTGAGTAAGCAATAGGCAGCTTGGTAGTATGACTGCATTTCTCGCTAAATGTTTGTAAAAAAGAATTTGTATAAGTCAGAATTTCCAGTGCCTGTGCTGTACAGTGTAATAGTATAGCCTGGTCATGTAAAAGTTTACTCCATTTTGGGCAGGAAATATAATTGTTTTGCTTTGCACATAACACAGTGGACAGTTACGCCACTTTGGAATACTTCTTCTCGGGTTGGTGTTGTTTTGTATTTTATATTAAAAAAAACATTGGAAATGTTACCTGCTTAGCGTGTTTTAATTTTAACGCTATAGCGTTAGAGAGCTCGTGTTGCAGAAATTCCGCCGTCGGCACCGTTGGTTGAGTGAAAATTCGTCCGCGAGCGAAAAATCGAGGAAGAAGCAAATAAAATAAATAAAATTTTTGGTTCCATTGAGGATCCAATCCGGGCCGTTTGCGTGGCAAGCAGGTGTCCTACCACAAAGCCACTACATAAAATGACATGTAGTGGAAGGAGTCTCCTTAACGCATTTTGTTGGACAGGTGTCACGACGAAAACGAGCCCATTCGGCAGTTTGTAGGCGCAATTGAAAGGCCATCAAACTACGTCGAAAAAGGCCGGGATAGTGCAGCCATCGCCGCAAAAACACACATGAACTTTCAAACAGCTCTAAAAATGGACAACTATGTTCATCTAGCGGAAAGCATATCACGCCTTTCGAGAGGCGTTGATCAAGCAAACAGCAAACGCTAGATAATGTGCTGCCATCTGTGAGGCATTGTGCCTCGCAGAACCATGTGACTATATTACTGTACAATATTTTCATGAAGTGGTTATAAAAGTCCTGTTAAATAGATGGAAAACCTGTACCATTACTATAGATACGTTGCACTTACGTGCGTGCGTTTGTGTACGTCTGCATGTGTGTGTAACAAAACAGATTAATAAGTATGCACTTAGCGGCTGAAGGGTGCATTAGGGGCTGGATTTCGTTATTGCATTTAACTCTTATAGGCGAAGCTTAAGGGTCCCCCAATTTTTTAACTTGATGTAGTTCGTTCTCTTAAACTGCAACATTACTAAGCACAGCAAAAGTGCCTTGCTCTGCATGTCGTCTTTATTTTTTTTCTTTTAAAGTGTGCTTGAAAAATAATGAAACTGCTTAGCTTAATTGTAGTGGACAAATGTCAGTCTTCCACTTGGCAATGTTCAGTTTTGGGAGATCTCAAACCTAACAACATATTGTCAACCTCTAACATACCACTGATGCTGAGATCACAAATATCTTATGTTACGCTGCAGTGTAAAGCTGTGCATTCATTTTATTTATTTATTTTTTTTAAGGGCCAGTGGCCATACAAGTTTTAGCTGAAAAATTGCATAAAATATCAGTGTTGTTGCAGGAACAAAATTAATTGATATTAAGAACCACTTTTTCTGGCTGCCCTACTGGGTGAAAACTATTGACTGTCTGATGGACAGTTTCATCATACATTTAAGATTTAAATAACTTGTTTCTCGAGATTGTTTTGATGGATGTGATGGCTGGGTTCTGATTTGATATTTCCACATAAACTTTAGTGCCTTTTTGATGCACGCATATAACTCTCGTTATTAAGACATCTTTTCATGTATTTTAGATTTTGAAAAGTGATGAGTTTCGTCTGGGGTCTGTGAAAAGGGAGTGTATAGTGCAGTAAATTTTTGTGTGGAAAACAGATGCACATAAGATGCAAATGACATTGCTTTTCAGCCTCAAGACACCCATGCCAGCAGTTGTTGGTGCCTTGCAAAGGAATATGCCTCCCGGAAGAAAATGGCCACAGATGCTTGCCTGTTGGAGGTTCAGACACTCTTTTGGTGTTTCTCCAGAATCATAGGACTGTTGTTTACTCTGTTGGATCAGATCCTACTGTGCCACCGCTTCTCTTGCAAGCAGAATTCAGCGAGATGCCCCTAGATTCAATTCACGTTCTTTCTGCTGAAGAAGCAGTAGTGTTCTCAAGCCGTGAACGATTGTATCGGGCCCGCATTGATGGTTATAATGTTACTCCTGTGGCAACATTGAACAACACCAGAGTCACTGCACTAGCTGCTGATGCATTCTCAGGTGAGAATTTCTCCAGCTTTAGAGCCTTATGGATGTTTTTGCAAGTGTTGTAGCTCTATGTTGTGGTCTATGTTGTGATGTTAGATATTTGATGACTGCTTTTAATGTACTGTAAATGGGGAGGACGTGTAGCTGGTGCCCATTACACCAAAGTGCAACATTTACAACTTGCTTGTTGGAACAGCACGATGGGTTAATAATTTGTGCCATTTTCAAAACTTTAAACCCATACAAGAGGTTGGTTCTCCATGGCGATAAAGTGGTCTACAACATTTTTTGTTCAACCATAGTTTATCACTTCAAATATAAACCGCTATAACTGAGTGTCCAAGTACAGGCCGGATTTAGCAGGACGAGGTAACTGGCTTTAACCTTCAGGATAGAGGTGGCACTGTTGTGCCATAGGCATGATGTGCTGCATGGATGGTGTTGCTGAAGTGCTGGTTGACAGTGCCCTCCATACTGTGGTTATTGGTTTCATGTACTTTTACATGTAAAGGCAAAGCTCTGCTTAGAAATTCAAGATTGCAGTGTATCTGCTTGTAGGAGCAAATATACTGCAGATCAACTGGTAATCTACAGTTCACAACTCTCAGCTGTGGCCTCTTAACAATGCTGCAATCGGCTGATCAGTCTAAGAAAAAAAATACTATCAGCACCAAGACCAAGTCTGAGCTGTTTTGGTGGGAGTGAATGCTGGCTGCTGTTATTCAATTGACTGCAAATACAGTAAAACGTCGTTACTTCGAAGTCACTGGGGCTGCGAGAAAGCTCCGAATTAAGCGGGTTTTCGAATTAACAACATACAAGAAGTGGGATGCAAGGAACTTGGAACTATTCAAAGTAATCAGTGCTCGTCGTTTGCTGTGCCGGCTAGCTTGCGGCTCCAAAGGTCATGTTTTCCAACAATGCCTGGACTTTGCTTTCCCTCGAACATGGAGGAACGGTGAGCCTCGCTGTTGCCACCTAAAAAAAAAAAAAAAAGTGGTCGCAATTAAAATATGCGCCTGCAGAAAATAAGACATCTTCACTGCAACACAGTAATAGCATGCGGGCAGCATGTCGCCTGCTCCTTGCTGCGTCAGCACGTCATGAGGCGACCAGTCGCACATTGTTATAATTATGACTTTGATAATGACCAGTATGACGAAGCTCACGATGTATTTTGGCTGGAAAAAATGATCTTTGGAACTTTAGAACTTAGTTTTCGAAGCAGGTTTTGCTGGCAAGAACTCCGCCAGCAGTGCAAAGACGCAAATTGCTGGAGCAACCGGCAATCGGAGGTTCGCATACATCGCGACTTCCGCTAAACTGTCCTGTAACAATTTTTTACGATCCCAGAAAGAATGGGTAAATGATGACCCGCTGACGTTGTGAGAAACGTGCAATAAGCTGCCCGCGTGTCACCGCTGTGTTGCAGTGAAGCACAGCTCGTTTTCTGCAGGCGCACGTTTCAGTTGATCACGAGACCGTTCTTTTCTCTTTTTTTCTTTTTTTTTTCGTGCTGGAAGTAGCGAGGCTGCCACTCGTTAGTATCGATCCGTTGCATTGCATTGTGGCTATTAATAGCCGTCGTTTCGCGGATTCGTGGCGAAATCGGGATCTGGAACTGGCACATATGGCACCCAAAGTTTTCGAATTAACCAGACTGGTGCCAGCCGCCGCTTCAAATTATTCACCCAAACTTGCATTGCAAAATACGGGACCGCGAAAATACTTCGAACTAAGCGGAATTTCGAAATAACAGAGCAGGAATTAATTTACTGCACGTTTCTGTGGCGGACACGTGCTTCCTAACAGTGAGCTTTGATGAATTGTGCACTTGTGTGTTGCCTTTGAATTTATGGACAGAACAATGCAGCCACAACTTTGCCATTTGTTTGTCATTCGTCTTTTGCAGCGAAATATTTTTCACAATACTTTAAAGGGGCTGTATCCAATAGTGATATTGAAGAGAGTAAAATAGGCCGGCTCACGGACAGTGAACCGCCAGAAGAATACTATTCAACCTTTGAGGGAAAATTGTGCTCGTCTCCCTCCCTTTTTTTTTTTTTTTAGGAGCTTGCTCGGCAAGCTTCGTATACTTGTGCCTTGTCTAGTGGCTGCTGGCATATACACCAGTGTTTCCAGTGTACACCTCTCCATTCGCCACTCAAGCGTCCTCTCCGGTGATTCCAACAATGTTCACTAGAAGGCATGGCCCAGCCGCAGCGGTCTAGTGGCTAAGGTACTCGGTTGCTAACCCGCAGGTCGCGGGATCGAATCCCGGCTGCGGCGGCTGCATTTCCGATGGAGGTGGAAATGTTGTAGGCCTGTGTGCTCAGATTTGGGTGCACGTTAAAGAACCCCAGGTGGTCGAAATTTCCGGACTCCTCCACTACGGCGTCTCTCATAATCATATGATGGTTTTGGGACGTTAAACCTCACTTATCAATCAAATCACTAGAAGGGATGCCGCCACCCAAGGCGTCGATTTTCGATGGCCCGCACGCTCGTCTCCTCGCGACTTTGTCCACTTCGTTTTTGTCACGCGCTGCCGTGCCTACGAAGCAACAAGTTCCTACGATGAGTGTTTTGCACAGGTACCAATGTGCTCTCAACCTTGTTGAAGAATGCCTAATAACTCCACGTTTGCCATTTATGAGCGTTAATCATTTGGCTCATGGGAGCAACCAGTATGGCATAGAGGGGCAGGTGGTTAACCTGCCGATCGACGTGGCCAAGACTGTGCAGTGCCGGCCGTGGAACGCGCCCCGTTGAAGCTGCCTTCGACGTAAAAATTGCGCGCTGGCTCGTTAACAAGCCTTCCTTTAGAAATGGTCTTGCCAAAAAAAAAAAAAAAAAAACGCCCCGTGCACATCGGAGCAAGCTCCTTTACCACTTGGTGGATATGGCGGTGATTTTTTTTAATTGTCAAAGTAAGGTTGTGCTTCAGTTTTATTGCTGAAATGTGGTAGTAACTTATCATGAGCATATTCATTATGAAGTCTTGAAATCAAGTGCTCATTAAATTAGTGTAAATACTCCACTTCAAGGCATAGTTTTTATCAAGCTTAGCCAAATAATTGCTTTTTTTTTGTTCCTTTTCTCCCCATTATAAGTATACTCCGTTCAGTGTTTTCAAGCAACATATTTGGACCCACTTAGCATGTTAGCATTTCCTTTTTGGGGCACTTCTGATAAGCAGAACTCCTGATAAAACAAACAAATGATCCGTAATGTATGTAACTGTACAAAAACAGATTGAAACAAGAAAGGAAAGAAAGACAGACAAGCGCAGACCATTCTTCTTAACAAATGATTGTGGTGCCTTGAAGTTTGTTTTAACGTGAGTTTACTGTATATGTACACCAATTTTGTTAGTTCATTTCAAATACTTAGAAATTTCTTATAATTAGTACTTGAACCAAAACAAGTTTGAATATTGTAATATTCATTCGACTATTCGAAGTGCACGAGTATTCACACAAGCCTACTATGAACATTGCAACGTGTGGGGAGACGTGATTTTATGTTGTAGATGTTTCGCTTTACAATGCTATCAAGTAATATATATACCCTGGATCCACAAGAGGCTGATGTGCTGACACTGCCATCTAAGTGGGAGAAGTGGTCTGGGCCACGGAAGCAGCCAAGGCCCGAGAGCTTCTAGTGACGAGTCAGGACAACTGTTATACCAGTGTGACATGGGCACTTTTAATCATGATCAGGGCGATTCAGACAGTTTTCTTATGGCTGCTGCTACGTGGTACATGCTAATGCCACCTGGTACACTTCATTTGACCCAAGATCGAACACGATTAGCTTGCGCAAGCTAATCTCGTTCGAACTTGGCCAAATGAAGTGTACCAGGTTGCATTAGCATGCCCTAAACTTTGTAGAATAGATTGAACAGGATTTACAAATTGTTTATAAAACTCAATTTCCCTTTTTACATTGTATTTAGCTTATTCACAAGCGCCCGCTTTGCGATAAGTTTTATGCCTGTTTCATTTCTGCCCCGGACATGGGGCATCTTCGACATTTGGCAATCATGGCAGTTGCGCTTTCTACCATTTGCTTTTTTGCACCAAGCACCGTGAATTTTTTACTGTGCTAGCAAAATGAGTGCCACAGACAAGCGCACCATTGCTGCTCTTCTAGTTATATCTGATCACTGTTGAGCCAAATTAATATGGGTGTACATGCTGCACGTACTCTAACACTCTAAACAATACCGAACATTTACACGTCACTGATAAAAATCTGCTTATGATACTATTCGCGGCGAGATCAGGCTGTAGGTGGCAGCACCATTTTCGCGGTAGTGTCGATAGGTGGTCGACGGCACGTATACAAATACATGCAGTGGCGCTTAGCTGCATGTGGTTTTAGCCGATTGTTGGCTGTCACAAGTCCCGTTAATTAGGGAGGCGATCGCCAGGCTAATTCCAAGGGCCGAAATATCGGCCCCCCGAACTGCACCACGAAAGCGTGGACAATTTAGAAGTGGTCCTATTTGGCGTGCTAGCGGACGCTGGCTGTGGCCCAAAGAACAAGTCAGAGTTGAGAGTTGATAAACAAAACAAAATTATATTCTCAATTCTGGCAGATCAAATCGATACAAAAATATGCACACTTGACAATAGTTGAATACGATATGTCGCCAATCAAACAACGTACTACACAGTACAATCAGCCACACTCGAAACAACGAACACAAACAACAATACGCACTACAATGCAGTCGCATGCATCAAACAACCAAGACACTTAAAGACTAAAGAGTTCGAAAACTTGTTCAGTCTAAAGTCCTTGGAACAAAAGTTTGAATGATACTCTTCCGAGAATCACTCGCTCAAAGTCCAGCGCTGTTGTCGTTCCGCTGCCCCCGAAGTTTCTCTTCCAGGAAACCTCGTGTCTTCAATTGGCCGCTCTCCAAGTACCAAACTTCGCCGGTAACACGTCGGCTTCCCGAACGTGTTGCGATTGCAGGACGGGTCTTCGCTCTCTGGCGGTTA